TCAGTCTGGCAGCATGTGAGCGCTATGTAGCGCTGCCTTGAAGGTCATGCGGCAGATAATGTACGTACCATGTTCTTTGTTCATCTATGATATATATGATATATATATATATATATATATATATATATATGTTTGTGTGGTGACGCGCTCTTTGGCCCCCCCCCCTCCGCCCCCCCCCCTTCATGGTGTTTGATGCGTCCCCACTGTGGGGTGGTGGGGTCCTTCTTCCCCTGTGGAGTGGTTGTGAGAGGTTTAGCTTAAGCTTTTGAGTTTTGGGTTTAGGGTTTTAGCCTGCATTTAGGCAGGGGTTACAATGTATACATATGCGCATGTATGTATGTGTATATATATATACACAATAAATTGAAACAAACATACATACGTACATACATACATACATGCTTACACTTACACATACGTATATATGTATATATGTATATATGTATATATGTATATATGTATATATGTATATATGTATATATGTATATATGTATATATGTATATATGTATATATGTATATATGTATATATGTATATATATACGTATATATGTATGTATGTATGTATGGAACTACTTGCAGTGGGACAACAAGGAGCAGAAACACGTCATCAACAAGGAGAACGAACCCATTCTGCACACCGAGGCCGTTCGACTCCTGGACCGACTCCTCTTTCTCTTTGCCCAACCGGGCGTCCTCCACCGCTTCCACGCGAAGAGAAGCCTTCTGGAAACCGGGGATGCGCCAGTTATAGTCTTTGTGATGGACATAGGACTGAGGATTCAGCTGGCTCACGAGACCTTCGACACAATGCACCGACTGAGCCAGTCGGCCATTACACAGACGGTCGGTATGAACCTTCGTCAGGATCGCTTGCAGCGATCTCCTCTGGCCAACTACATCCAGAGCCAACTCGCCTCCGCATCCTCCAGCTGAAGCTCCATAACCCGTCTAATCTGTGCTACATGCATGCAGTGCTTCTGTCCTGGCTATGGAGCCTATCCTCCTGTCCTGTTCACCTCACTCAGGTTCCGGAGTGGCTCATGCGAGGATTCAGGAGCATTCTTGAGTGCCAGCCATCACAGCTCCTGCTGTCTCAGCCAACATGGCTCAGCTTGCTACAGGACTGGACGTCGCCTCACAGGCAACATGATGCTGCCGAGTTTTTACAGTACATACATTGCCATTCATTGTTCCCACAGCCTGATGTCTATTGGCAGACTCGTGTTGAGATTGACAGGCACACATGTGTGGAAGAGGAGGGCAATTCACCTGTGATCAGCCTTCCACTCAGTGCTTCCACTTTGCATGACACCCAATCTCTGGTCAATGACTGGCACACGCAGGCTGGGACTCGAGCTCTTAATGGACGGGCTGAGCTTGTTGTGATACAGTTGGCTCGCTACCGAGATGATTGCAGCAAACGTGATGACTACGTGGCTCATCAGCCACGACTCGCCATCCCGACCTTTACCGATGATCATACGACTAGCACGCATCTGCTTTACTTCAGTTGCAAGCCATTTGTATTCACCTGGGAATGCAAGTCACCTCTGGCCATTATCAGGCAATTTTGTATGATCACTTGAGTGGCCGCTCCTTTCTCACGGATGATAACGTACCCGCATCGATGATTGCGAATGTTTCCGAGATTGAACAATTCCATCGTAGCAGTTACCTTCTCTTCTATGTCATTGATGATCGTACAGTCGCATAGGTTCAGTTATATCCCTCGCATGCCTTCGGGAGCTTCGGCTCGGGGCAATGCTCGTTTGCGGAGAATGCCAAAGGCATGCCATCCAGAATGGCCGGATGAATATTCATCTGTCTCGGTAACTTCGCTAGGCTTGACGACTCGAGCAGCGCACTCAAAGTCAAAAAAGTATGTATGTATGTATGTATGTATATATATATGCATATGTATTATATATGTAGATATGGATGTATGTATACATCTGTATATGTAGATAGGTAGACATGTACATATGCATAACATAATATATGTGTATATGTATATGTGCATATGTGTATACATGTACATATGTATATATGTATATATGTATATATGTATATATGTATATATGTATATATGTATATATGTATATATGTATATATGTATATATGAATACAGAAGAGGAGGCTGTGGGGCCTGCGTTTTGGCAACCCACTATCTTCAGTGGTTTTGAGTTTTTCGAGTTACGAGTTGTTTTGTATGTTTCGAGTGATTGCACGTGGGGTTCTCTGAACTGTGTACTAGTTTGGTGCGTGTGTACGTGTATGTTGTTGCTTTGGATGGTTTATAACATCAAGTAGGAGTTGTTGTGCAAGTTGTGCAACACGAGGTCTGTTTATAAACACCGGGTTTGTTTATAAACATGTGTCGTCACAATCATGTGCCTCCTCTTCAGAACTGATGTTGTATATGTTTAGAAACAGCTAGCCTGCCAGACATGTAGATATGTATGTGTTTATAAACACCGGTCTAGGGGGAGGGGGGGGGGG